GGGGGGGGGGGGGGGGTCTATTTACTGGGTTTCTTGTGATTCTCGTTTGGGAACTCTGACAATGGGTAACGGGTGGAGTTTAGGATTATTGGCCCCGGCGCCAAACCCGAGATCTCCCCCGAACTTTGCGGCACCGATGTCGCGGCTAGTCACGGCAAGCCGGTCCAACATCGCCCCGGCTAATCGCGGGATAATCGGAGTCACCACTAATGACGCCACTCGACCGGTTTCCGCCGCCATAAACGTATAGTAGTTTTTAAGAGTAGCGTCGTCTTTGATGGCCCACGGCTCGCCTAATTGGAAGAGAAGGTTGGCGCGGTCTAACACTTGCCACCACTCATGGAGAGCTCTCTTAGGGTTAAAAGACGTCATATGAGGGTCCATCGCCTCGTATAATGAGTCCACCAGTTGCCTCAATTCATTACTGAGAGTGATAATCTCCTCAGCACGCTCAGGCAGTCTTGCTCCGATTCTAGACTCAATATCATCAAATTTACCGTCAGCAAAGTCGTTTACGGAAGCAGCAATGTCGAACTTCTTACCTCCCACTCTAGTAATGAGATTAGCGTATTTGCCAATCAACATATCGCGGGTATCGACAAATGCCTGTTCACTGAAATTAGAGTCAGCATCGATGTTAGTGTACTCAGTAAGGAAAAGCCGTAACGAATCCTCGCCGTAGTATTCATAAGTGTCGATAGGATCAACGACATTACCCAACAGTTTCAGCATTTTGAAACCCTCACTAAGCCAATGAGCGTGGACCACTACCTGGTTAGGGAGGGGTACATTAGCCGCCATAAGGAAAATCGGCCAATAAATCGTGTGGAAACGAACAATATCTTTACCGACAATGTGAGTTGCTGGCCACTGGGCACCAGTAGAGCCTAAATTAGGGTAGCCACAGGCAGTAATATAGTTCACTAACGCATCAAACCACACGTAAATCTTTTGTGTGGGGTCTCCAGGGACGGGGATCCCCCACTTAAGTCTCAGGGCTGGCCGACTCACCGAGAGATCCTCTAGTTTCTCCAGTTTCAATTCTCGGAGAATTTGGGTATATTTCAGTTCGGGGACGATAAACTCCGGGTGAGCTTCAAGGTGGTCAATCAACTGTTGCTGGAACGCACCAAGCTTAAAAAACCAGTTGGTTTCTTCTTGGTAAATAACGGGATTGCGCGTTTCCTTTGAGATCATCGTACCATCAGGCCCCTGTTCGATCTGAGTCTCAGGAAAGAAAGTCTCGTCACTCACCAGGTACCAGCCCGCGTGTTGACCCTGGTAAAGCCATCCTTTATCGGCTACCGTCTGCCAGAAGTGGGTAACCGCCTGAATATGGTCAGGGTCAGTCGTGCGGATAAACCTCAGATAATCGACGTTGAGCTTGGTGGCAAGGTCTCTAAAGTTCTGGGATACCTGGTCACATAATAGCTTAGGGTCTATCCCTTTCAGTTCCGCCACCGTTTGGATTTTAAGCCCGTGTTCGTCGGTACCCGTCAACATAAACAGCGGCCCCGTGAGCCGAGCCCAGCGGTGACGGGTGTCTGCCATCAACATCGAGTACAAGTGGCCCAAGTGGGGCTTGGCATTGACGTAGAAAATCGGGGTGGTGATGTAGAAGGGCTTGGTGGCATACCCCCGCCAACCCCGGAGCATCGTGTGTGCGAAGTGGGTAACCCTCGAACTGAGAAGACTAATCAGAAGGGGGATTAGAAAAAGTGATGAATGTTTTGACAGAGTAAAACTAATAGACTTGTTTCAAGAATTGTATCATTTAGTCAACCATAACATAACCCCGATATTTGTGAGGCGATGGTGCGATGAAGACAGTCAGGTATTATCATGGCTGAAGCTAGTGGAGGCAATTGAAGGCATACATATGTAGTGATAATTAAATGTAGTGATTAGATCGATCAACTAAAGCAAACTTTTGGATTAGATTTATGAGTATTATTTGCTGAGTTTATTCGGCTTATTGGGCCAAGTAATGGTAGCAGAGGTGGCTTAACAGGATCATCTCCGGCTCCCAAGTATCAGGCCATTTAAGACGAGAGGAGACATCATCGTACCTATTTGGTGGTTTCTGTTGCTAAATTAAGGTAAGAAAAGTCGAAGTTAGGTTAGGTTTTCCCGCCATAGTTTTTCGGTGGCTGGGTGGTCTAGCCCCCCACTCCCCCTCAGCCAAATTTGTGGGTTCAGCACCATCGAACGATTAGACGTTAGCCTGATTAGTGTAAACTATCAACACATCTGATTCATTTAGTTAAAAATTTATTCTTGCTTTTACTAATAGAGTGTCTCACATTTGCTCTCGAGACGTATCAGTCTCGTCGCTTTAAAAGGATAGATAGCGTTACCGCATCGCCACAAACAGAAATCGAGCGGGGGCTAGCCTCTTCATAACCCAAAAAAGCATCAGTGGTAGCAACCCGTCGATAAGCAAAGACAAAAACGGCCAACTAATGGTCTCCTTGTTACTATAACTTGACTTTATTAGACAAAATTCTTGGTAGGCCAGTTTTAAATAGTACGATGATTATTGAAATTTTCATTAAAACGGCGTTGTTGATGGCACACCGAGAATCACGCTCGCATTACCCAAAACGGGGGTCTAGATGGTCGCTCCATGAAAGTTACCAGGGCACGCAACGGGAGAGAAATTATCTAGCCACCACAATTTTACTCAATATCCTACACCCATCTGGAATTTCTAGCGCACACGGCAATCCATTTCGTTTCTAATTACGTGCGTACTGCGAGTTCTTTCTTGGTCGTTTCAGGTATCGCCGCCCACGTAAAATCACATCTCGCATTTGAGGTGTATTGACAGATATTGTTGGTGCACTGACGGTTGACCGGACGACCCGGTTGACAGCGGGACCCTTGGCCACGAGCCCCGGCCCCACACATTTTCGGATAGTGGTCGGAAGCAGAAGCAAAAGAGCGCAAATGTATGTATGTGTGTCCGATTAATCTCTATAAACGATTGGTTCTTCTCTCAGTGCCAGCACGAGAAGAAAAAGCCCTTTAGTAGTAGGGGAAAAGGGGTCATTCGTCCTCGCAGAAGCACGCCAGCTGGCAGCGGCGACACACCATCTGGAGCTTGCCGTGGCGGTCGACAAATAGGTGGTGGTGGTGTTCGTGGCAATGGCACTTGATGCACGGGGGAGTCATGTAGGGAGCGACGGGAAAGTTGGGTTTCTTGCTGTAGGGAAAGAAATCTTAGAGGGGGGGAAACGTCGTGGTTATATACCGCAGCGCAAATGGTTACGGTGCAACGACCGCTCGGATCCATCGTGCCGGGGCCTAGAACCGAGGGAACGGCGGAACATCGGACCAGCACCACCAACGAGAGAAAGTTGCTTTTCCGAGACCAGGGCCACCTTCTCAGCAAGGCTTACTGGTTCTTGGCGACGAAGATGGCCATGAGGGCAAACACCAGGTAGAACATCATGAGCGGGTACGCAATCAACAACCGCACGTTGTGCAACTTGAGCACGGCGACAAAGAACCCCAGCGCCAGAAGCGTGCACCACAAGATCGCCAAGGCACACCCGAGGTAGCCTAACCAGTTGTCGAGCGACGCCACCACCGACACCAGCAGCACAAACACAAGCGGCAAGAGACAGTAGCCAATCACCAGCGCCAGCCTCGTAAAGTCAATTTGCACTTCGTTCAGCATGAATTTGAAGAGGTAGTGGAGCGACAAGATCCCGAAAAGCCCCACCCCGTAGATGTAGCCAAACTGCTGTTTACCCAGCAATAACATAAACGTGCCAAAGAGTAACACGAACAAAATGGGCCCGGCAAGGTCCAGGTCGGCCATGATATCGGGGCCAATGTTGCGGTTCAACGGGTTAAGCACCGCCAACGTCTTCGTCTTGATGTGGCCGAAATTGATGCCCAATTCCTCGAGCAACGGCGGTTCGCCAGGGTACCCCAGGGTGCCGAACGCGGCGAGGATCCCCGTCGAGAGCTGGCCTCCGTGCATCGTTCCCAGGACGTCGGCGCCGAACCCGGTGTCCATGGCGCCCATGGCGCCCATCGAACCCATGTTGCCTGCTCCGCCCGCCAGCTGCCCGTAGCTGGGCTGGTAGAACTGCATGTTCAGCGGATCGTTCACCAGTTGCTGATAGTATGCCATCGACGTGTTCGGATCGTTCACAACTTGATTTGTGCGCGGTGGTAGAAAAAACACGCGAAGCAAGCGAAAGATTGCGAAAAAAAAAAAGGAGGCGTAGTGCTCACACGAGTTACGCAGTGAGTGAAAATAGATGGGTGGAAATACGATAAATTGGGGGTTTAGTAGGGTCAATTGAGGTCAATTGAGCTGGGGAATGGTGGTGGAAGTAGCAAAAAGACAGCCCGATGCGGGGCTCGAACCCGCAGCCTTGAGATTAAGAGTCTCACGCTCTACCGATTGAGCTAACCAGGCCAGTTGCGATTTTGTGTTGTATAATATCCGAAGCTCACTCATAAAACACTTGTATTCTTTTCTAATCAAATCAGTCATATTTATACACCAACCTGCGGCTTCC